CCACTGGAAATGGAAGGCAAATTGAGGGTTTCGGGTTGGGTTGGGGTGGTTTGGCGGGTGGTGATCATCATCATCATCATCAGCATCATCATCATCGTCATCATCATCATCCTCATCATCCTCATCATCATCATCATCAGCATCATCATCATCACCATCATCATCTCTCATCGACATCATCACCACCACCAACACCACCACCACAACCACCATCATCACCAGCAGCAGCAACAGCATCATCATCAACATCCTCATCGCCGTCAACAACATCCGAACAGATCCGGGCAACGTCGTCATGATCAACTCCATGATGAAAATCATCGCCAGCCGAATCATCATCAGCAGCAGCATCATCATCATCATCATCATCCTCATAACCATAATCATGACCAGCATCGTCATGCTTGTCATCATCAGAAACATGATCATCGTCGTCATCATCAGCATCTAATCATCATCATCGTTAGCAACATCATCAACATCGCCCGCGTCATCCACAGCATCATCAACACTGACTATCACCATCGCCATCACGATCACCACCATGTTCATCCTCACCATCATCATCAGCATCATCGTCGTTAGCAGCAGCACCACCACCACCACCACCACCATCATCATCATCATCATCATCATAATCATCATCGTCATCATCGTCGTCGCCACCGTCATCGTCATCGCCATCGGCATCATTATCATCGTCATCAGCAGCATCAGCAGAATCCTCATCGACGTCATGAGCATCATATCACCACCATCACCGCAATCAGCATCAGTCGCATCATCGTCATCATCATCATCATCAGCATCATCATCGTCGTCGTCGCCATCGTCATTGTCATCGTCATCATCACCATCATCCACAACATCACCATGGTCAGCAGAAGCAGCATCAGCATCACTCCGTTGTTCTTATCCAGCTCCATCTCCTCATCGCTGTATCTCTCCCGCGATGCATCGGCATAATCATCCTTCAACATCATCATCATGAGCATCATCATCAGCATCATCAGCATTATCATCATCGTCATCGTCTATCGTCATCGTCATTAGAATCATCATCATTATCATCAGCAGCATCATCATCAAGAGTATCGTCATTATTAGGATAACATGATGATCATCATCAGCATCGTCACCATCAGCGTCATCATGATCGTCATCAGCGTCCTCGTCCTCGTCCTCGTCGCCATCACCAGCATCGTCATCCTGACGATCAACACCACCATCATCAGCATCATCAGCATCCTCACCATCACCGTCACCCTCATGATCATCATCAGCATTATCATCACCACCAGATCATCATCATCGTCAGCATAATCGTCAGCACCATCAGCATCACTATCTCCATCACTATCATCATTATCATCAGCAGCAGCACTATCATCTTCACCAGCATCACCATTATCATCAGCAGCATCAGCATTGTCAAAATAATCCTCATCGGCATCACTACCAGCACCATGTCCATCGTCAGAATCATCATCACCATCATCATCATCATCATAATCAGCTTCCTCAGCGTCATCATCATCGCCACCACCATCAGCACCATCATTACCATCAGCAGCAGCATCATCAGAGACATCACTAATATCGTCATCCGCCTCCTCCTGACACGTACCCAGGGGGGGACGGTCAGGCCGATGACGGTCTCAGCCTCGATGAAGCGCTGCTCGCACTTGAGGCACAGCAGCTCGCACTATTCTCTCTGGGACGGGTGCGGGGTGAGAATCGTCATCCGTTTCCTCCTCCTCCTCCTCCTCCTCCTCCTCGAGGGCGGGGGAGCAGGGCGCGTCCTGGCCGTCCGCGCGCAGCTCTCTCGCAGGCCTCCCTCCGTCGCCGGCCCTCCTCCCTCCTCCTCCTCCTCCTCTCCTCCTCGCCTCCTCCTCCTCCTCCTCCTCCTCCTCCTCGTCCTGATCCTCCTCCTCCTCCTCCGCCTCCTCATCCTCCTCCGCATCCTCCGCCTCCTCATCCGCCTCCTCCTCCTCCACCTCCTCCTCCTCCTCCCTCCCCCCTACCCTCCAACCCAGCCTCCGACCCACCCTCCTCCTCGTACCCCCCTCTTCGTCCCCCCTTTTGGCGTTGCGCAGGCATTTGCGGGATGGCAGTTGCGTCTAGTTTCTGCTCTCCTCCTACTTCTCCACATCCTCCTCCTCCTCCTTCCCTTCCTCCGCCTACTCCTCGTGCCTCCCTACTCCATGATTGGAGAGCAGTGGTTCGCGAGGCGTGAAGAAAGAAAGCAACGGCAACACGATTCAAGGCAAGATGTAGAAGGAGGGGCATGGGAAGGAATGTGCTTCAGACTGCAGTGCAAGTAAGAAGTCACAAATATCGCAGGTGCCTGTACCGATCGTACGCAGCGTTGTCCTCTAAGCCCCCTCCCGCGCTCTCCTAACTCGGGCCTGGGTGTTTACACGCCTGTGTGAGTCAAGTGCCAGGAGATGTGCTTGCAGCTAGCGTCAACACAAGGCCACGGCGTCAAACACAGCATCCTGCCAGTTATTGAGAAAATCAATCAGTAACCCATGAGTGCAAGCACTGTTTGGAGAAAAACTTACTTCGGGTTTAAACAGAACAGGCGTTCTTTTCCGATGAACCCGTGTTTTCCCCTCGAGACTAGGTTCCGGGACGACGACCACGAAACACGAACACTGACTTTGGCCAGGCCGCTCCTGGACCCAGGATCGGTGAGAATACCTCTCTGGCCAAGACAGGCCAGGGCGCCCTGCGGTTGTGGATGCCATGACAATGGACACTCTAACAATCCTATCATTGAATGAAAATGTGTTTAAAATGTGTAAAACATGTTCTAAAAACGCTTCAAACACGTAGTTGGCAGCACGCTTCCTCTCCATTAATCGACTTCCACAACCCTACGACCAAGAGCACCCCGAGGCCCTCTCCCCCTGGGCTGGGCGAGGCGAGGGGGAGTCGCGCCGAACATGGGCCCTGAACCCAGGCTCCAACGCCGCGACCCATAAAAGGCCCAGCGCTTCGAGGCTCGAGCGAGGGAGGGGGGGGGAAGCAGGGAGGGCGCGGGTGGAGGGAGGGTGGAGGGAGAAAACAGCAGGGGGGGACGTGGCTCACTTTTGTTCGGGCTGGTCCGCGTTCCGGGGGGAGGGGCGACAGTCTTCCGTCGCGATGCATCGTTCAGCCTTGAACGATCCCGGCGCTCCGAGAGCGCAGATCGCTCGATGACGGCCGAGAGGCCAGGCAACAGGCGGCGTTCAGCCTTCAGCGCCCGCTACAGTCGGGGCGCTGACCCAAGGAACCCTAAATGAGGAACGAGGACCCTTTCTCCCGTAAGCTAAACTTCGCTCTCCCACGGAAAGCCTGAGGAACACCGAGCCCCTCCCCAACGAAAAGGGCTCCCCCATTCAGCGCCCCGACTGTACGGGGTCGCCGCCCCAGAAGGGGCGAGGATGGGCGAGGGAGGCGAGGAGGGGCGGAGCGATAAGGGGACGCGAGGAGGGGCGAGGACGGGCAAGGTGGGATTAGGTCGGGCATGTCCCCCTACAGGCGGATTCTCGACGACAAATACTTAACAACATCAAAACATACCCTATAAACAAAATCTAAAATTGTAGAAAAAAAATCGTCCCCGGACGATTGACATGTTCTGGATTTTCCTCCTGTAGAGGGAGATGCCCGACTTCAGGGTGGGAGGAGGGGGCGCACGGAGGGGCACGGCACGAACCTGCCATAGCAGGGTCGGGAGTTGCCAGACGTGTCCCCGGCCCCAAAGTGGGCCCCCCTCGCGAGGTCCAGAGGGGCTCCGGGATGGTGCCAGAAGACACAAAGAAAAACAAGCACAAAAACAAGCATTAGCCTGAGACTTCAGAGATGTGGACCCCCCCTGAAGGCACCTCCGGCGCCGCCCCTGGCGCGCTCCGAGCGCCAGGGGCGCGCCCAGCGCCGACCCGAGATATTCGCGCGCGACGCGGACCTGGCTCGTCATCCCGAGCCGTTTGACGGTTCCTGGGCCCGGCGAGGGCCCCCCAAGGCCAAAAGCTGCGACAAACCTCCACGCTGAGCTTCGCGAGACGGCCGGAGACGGCTTCGCGGTAGCGGCCGTTGCCGTTGCAGGCCCTGGCCGCCCCCCACATCCCGACGAGGGAACGTTGCGATTCGTCGGCGCGAAGCGTGACGCCACTGGCCCCCCCTCGCCCCAATCCTGAGGCAACGCCCATTGTCGTCAGGGATATTTGTCGTTTATATAAAAACAAAAACAAACAAACAAACAAACAAACAAACAAACAAACAAACAAACAAACAAACAAACAAACAAACAAAGAAACAAACAAACAAACAAAAACGCCCTTAACCATCATCCCACCCCTCCCCCCCCCCGCAGCCACCCCCGCTATCGCCAGAGGATTAGAAAACGGGCCCCATGGCTCTCAGCCCACCCCCCGCGCTCCCGCCGCTATCACCATGGAACTAAACAACGGGCCCCTAGCCCTGCTGAGTCTCGTTTAACCGATCCCCGTCCCCAGCGGCGTGGCCTGGGCCCCGCTGGCCGATTTACCCCCATAGATGGGGACATAGGTCGCTCTCTTCGGGTCTCGAGGGGTGCGCCCCCAACTGGGGTGGTCATTTGGTGGGGGTCTCGAAGGGGACGGAGAAGATGGGGATGGGGATCGGTTAAACGACACCGACGGCCCCCTCGTCCGAACCACCGAGATTTGGAAACCCCAAACGGTGCGGTGACGGACCGTGCGGTGACCTCGAAATCCCCCAAAACCTCACCGCACGGTCCGTCACCGCACGGTTTTGGGTCCGTGGAGGCCCCCGTCGCCCGAGACATCCTCGGAGAAAGACTCGAGTCCCAAAACCGTGCGGTGACCCGGAATCCCCGCCGACTCACCGCACGGTGTGGTCACCACACCGTTTGGGGGCCCCCGACGAGAGCGGGGGGGGCCGAAGCGGGGGCGCAGGCGCCGGCGCGCGGCCTCGTCCCCAGCACCCGGCGTCCCCGCCGCGGCCTCGCGCGCCGCCGCGGCCTCGGCCTCCCGCGGCGGGAGGGCGTGCGGGGCACCGCTGGGGCAGCCCCGCAGTCGGTGCCGGAGGAGGCGAGGGTAGGGCGACGATATCTATACATATCCACTGCTCCTGGCCAGGCCCATCCTGGGCCCAGGAGCGGTGTATATGCCTCCCTGGCCAAGCCAGGAGGGCGTATACACAGCTCTTGGGCCCAGGATTGGCCTGGCCGGGAGCAGTGGATATGTATAGATATCGTCGCCCTAGAGGGGCGGCGGGGGGGGCGTGCGGCGCCGCAGGGGCACGCCTGCAGTCACTGCCGGAGGAGGGCACGGCAGCAGGAGCTCCTCGCGAGGGCCAGCAGCAGCACAGGGACCCCGACGGCGGCCGCCCCCCCCAGAAGGCCTCTCTGCCAGTCCGCCGCCCGGCGGCGTCCCGTCCTCTCTTCGGTCCTCAAGACGGATCCCAGAAGGCCCAGCGCGGAGCTGGCGCAAGAGCAGACTACCACACGACGAATGCACCATCGATCAGGCACACGGAATGCCTGGGCCAAGAAGCGACGGGGCGATCTGGGCGCCCGCGCCGGCGTGGCCCCTCGCCGGGAGGAGGCCTGGCGCCCATGGTGCCAGGCTTTTTCCACCGAGGCAGAAAGAAAATCATAAGCTAAAAAGAGATCGGCGGTCTGGTGATCGTTTTCCTGTTCATTGTTTTGCCGATCGGCGCTGCGAGGACTCGGAGTGAAAGACCTACGGGGGTCCACATTGTGAGCGCATCACGACGTCGGAAGTCTGGATTGGCAAGGCCTTCGGACACCCCTGGAGGGGAGGAGGAAGAAACGGGCTGTGGGGACATTGGGGGGATGAACAGCCCAGGGAAGTGGGAGCCTTTACAGGGGATGATGGCGATGACAGTGATCATGATGGTGATGGTGATAGTTTGATGGTGATGGTGATGGTGATGGTGATGGTGATGGTGATGGTGATGGTGATGGTGATGGTGGTGATGGTGGTGATGGTGATGGTGATGGTGATGGTGATGGTGATGGTGATGGTGATGGTGATGGTGATGGTGATGGTGATGGTGATGGTGATGGTGATGGTGATGGTGATGGTGATGGTGATGGTGATGGTGATGGTGATGGTGATGGTGATGGTGATGGTGATGATGGTGATGATGATGATGATGATGATGGTGATGGTGATGGTGATGGTGATGGTGATGGTGATGGTGATGGTGATGGTGATGGTGATGGTGATGGTGATGATGGTGATGGTGATGGTGATGAAAATGACGATGGCGATGGCGATGATGGTGATTATGATGACGACGACGACGACGACGAAGACGACGACGACGAAGACGACGACGACGATGATGATGACGATGTTTGCGTGAACGCATCAGCCTGAGGTCTATCTTGAGCCAAAATGGCTACGGATGCTGGTGATAATGATGATGATGATGCTGATGATGGTGATGATAATGATGGTGATGATGGTGATGATGATGATAATGATGATAATGATGATGATGGTGTTGATGATGGTGATGGTGGTAATGGTAGTGGTGATGCTGGTGATGGTCATGGTGATGGTGATGGCGATGGTGGAGCTGGTGATGGTGATGGTGATGGTGATGGTAATGATGGTGATGATGACGATGATGTTGAAGATGCTGAGACGGAGGATGAGAAGGAGGAAGACCAAAATGAATCCAAGAGTGTCAAAGATGCTCCAATACAACCTCCCGTCCTAAGTCCCCTCCCCATTAGCCACTACAGAAAGACAGGGGATAATGCAGGTGTGGGGAAGAAACAACGAACTTGAACAAACGAAAATCGCGGGGGGTCAGGAACCGAACCAGAACGCAATTATCAACCATGTGGGATGTCAGGGCTGATCGCTTCCGAAAACTGATCGATGGCCTCGGGAATGCTTCAGTCAGCCCCAAGGCAGCCCCAGGATGGCTTCGAACGATAGCAAAAGATTTGAGACAAATTTGATGCTGTGTCTCCACACCGCATCTACTGCACAATCCCACCCTCGCTTGGCTGAATGAAGTGCAACTCTGTTCTCTTACTTGTGACGTGAGGCAATATTGGGTCGACTGGGATCGTAGCGTACAGACGGTATGACAAGCAGCACGATGCGAACGAACCGATTTAAGCACAGTGGCCAGAAAATAAGCTGCGAACAAGCGCGGCGAGCAGGGGAGCAAAAATAATGGTGTGAAAGACGAGGAGCCTGCAAGGTCGCAGAGTAACTGTGCGCGCAGCCTACTAACCTCCAAATTACTCCTCGTCCTCCCCCTCCTCCTGCAGCCTTCCCTTCCACCTCCCTCGTCCTCGCATTCCCTACTCTGCGCTTTTGTGCGCTCCCCTCCACGCGCATGTGTTCCTCTCACATATTGCAAAGTCTCCCCCTCCTCCTACACTTTCTCCCTGCATTCACCCTCCAGGGGTCTTTAGAGTCCTCAACAGGCCCTCGGGAGCGGGCAGAAATGTCAAATCACATCTCCTCGCCCTAACTCCCTCCCTAGTTCCCTTCCTCCCTCCCTCCTCATCCTCACTCCTCTCGTTGTTTTCACTCGACGCGCGCGTTCTCCTTCGACTCTCTTGAGGTTACCAACTCTGCTCACACCGCGCGAGAATAGATGGGGCCAGCGGATTGCATTGCACCGCATCGACGACGGATCGGCGATATATCGGCGATGCATCGGCGACGTCCGGAAAGAGAAAATTGGGCTCTGGAACGCGCCCCGTCGCCCATGCATCAGCGAAGCGGCGCGATCCTGCGGCCCCATGCCATCTGAACGGACTGGTGGTTTCGGGTCATAATTAACCTTAGGTCGGGCATGTCCCCCTACAGGCGGGTTTTGGGCGAAAAATGAAAAATCCTCAAAAACATCAAAAAATAGTCCAGAAATATTCAAAAAAAACGTCCCCTGACTATTCGTAAACTATTTTTGAATATTCCTCTTATAGAGGGACGTGCACGACTTACAAGTAACCTCCGCCTCCAGCGGCCGTTCGGCACCATCGGGGCACTCCCGGACAGCGCTGCTCGGGGAGCAGGTGCTGGAGAGCAGCTCGGTCGAGGCGAGCCGAACCTGCAGCGGTCGGCGAAGACTTCCTGGGCGCCCCCGACACTGGACTGCCCGCCGACGCCGCTCTCGATCCTGCTGCCCGTGTTCTCTCTAGGCTTCCCTCCGTGCTGCTCGTGGGCGTTCCTGTATTCTGGGTGCCGACCTGTGGCCGACGGGTGGGGGACGGGGGACGGGGTCTGGGTCCAAGGGCTCCCAACTCTCGCGCTCCGCGCGGCGCGGAGCGCAGAGTGCGAGCAGCTCCGCGCTCTCGCGACCGCCTCCCAGGGGGAGCAGGAGCAGGAGGAGGAGGAGGAGGAGGAGGAGGAGGAGGAGCAATCGGAGCCGAACCGCGAAGTGCGAAGCGCGAGCACCCTCGCGCCATCGAAGGCGCCCTTGGGGTCTGGGTCAGGGGCTGCGTCGATCTGCTCCCGCTGGGGGCCCCGACCCACCGCCGGAGGCGGCCGCCAAGGGCAGTCAAGAGCGAAGGATTGCAAAAAAACCCAGTATTGCAAAAAACCCTGGGTTTTTTTGCAATCCTGGGTTGTTTTTTGCAATCCTTCGGTGTTTTTTGCAATCCTTCGGGGTTTTTGTTGCAATCCTTCGGTTTTTTTGCAATCCTCGGTTTTTTGCAATCCTTCGACTGTAGTCGGGGGCGTGCAAGCACGGATCCGCGAGTCACGGATTTGGCGCGCGGTCGCCAAGGCCATGCATCGGAGGAGGTGCCCTCCCCAAAATGCGGCCGGCGCCGCCTCGCTCGGCGGCGGGCATCCGCGATTTCCCACGGAAACGGGACCCGTCGCCAATCCACGCCACCTTAATCCATGTTTGCGATACCCTGAGAGGGGCCCTGGCCCATCGCCAGAGGCAGCCGCCAAGGGCAGTCAAGAGCTGGTCTGTGGGGGGGGGAGGGGGGCCCTCAAATACACTATTTTCTCAGGATCGAGGCTGACAGTACAGTGGCCGCGACGCACGCCGCGCGAGGCGGCTCACGGGCCAAAATACTTACCCATCGGTCGGAAGAAGTAGGTAGAAACATGAAGTAGGAAGGCGTTGGAAATAGATTGGGTTTCCGCACGCCTCCTGAAGAGGGAGGAAGAGGGAAAACCACTCGACTCTTGAAGTAGGAAGGCGCTGAAAGTAGATTGAAATCTGGGAATCCAAAAATACCTACTTTCAACGACCGATGGGTACGGTTCTGGTGCACGCTGCGTTGATGCTTCCCCTCACCATGCACTGCTAACTACGACTCTGGTTGCTACATGCCTGCTTCGCAGGCCTGGCGTGCCACCCGCAGGCGCGCCGGGGCCCGCGCCGATCGGCGAAACACGCCATAGAAGAACAGCTACCTCCCTGTCGCCCCCTGGCCGGTCCTGTCTGGGCGGCCTGGGCTGTTACCCCCGCGCTGCTCCCCGGCGCCCCTCGCCCTCGCCGACCGCCTCTCAAGCCTCCTCGTCCCCCAAACTCGGTCGGCCAACGTTTTCAACTACCTACCAGACCACCCCAAATCCAAAAGCCCAAATTTCGGGTTGGGGGGGCACGGGTTCCTCATGCGTTTTTCCCATGTTCCCCGACACCCCCCACACTGGGGATGGAGGGCGAATTGGGGCGTTCGGGTTGGGTTGGGGTGTAGTTTGGTGGGTGGGGTGAATATCGTCGGCGGGGTCGACCGCCCGAACACGATCCTCCGTGGTGGACATCCCCTCCGCGGCATGCCCTGGCAACTGCGCCACGCCCGAGGCCCTCCTGGTGATCTTCTTTGGTCTCACCACTTTGGGGGGAGGGGAAGGAGGAGGAGGAGGAGGAGGAGGAGGAGGAGGCGGAGGAGGAGGAGGAGGAGGAGGAGGGGGCAGGAGGGGGGATGAGGAGGAGGAGGAGGAGGAGAAGGAGGAGGAGGAGGAGGCGGAGGAGGAGAACGAGAAGGAGAAGGAGGAGGAGGCCGCTCCTGTTCCGTCCTCATGCTCCCGTTCTCCTGGTCCTGCGGGGGGGGAGGGGGCGCTGGCAGCGGGCCTCCAGCGCGGCCAGCCTCTCCTGCGCGGCCGTCCTGCAGGGGGGGGGGGGGTCAAGGGCGAGGAAGGAGGAGAAGGCCCGGGGTCTGCCCGAGAGGACCCCGAAAGGGCCCAAGGGCTCCCCAAGACGACCAGAAAGGCCCTCGAAGGGCCCCAGAACGGGCTCAAGAGAAGCTTAAAAGGGGAAGTTCGCAAGGGCCCCCATGGGCACCTCCCAAAAAATACCCCCGAAAACCCCAACATGCTCTCAAAAAGCCTCCAGGGAGCCCTAAGGAACTCCCAGGAGCTCGGAAAAACTCCCACGAGGCCGCCCAAAAAAAATATCAAGAGGCCCCCGAAAAGCCCCGCAACAGGCAGAATGGAAGAGGAGGACAAACCAGCAACAGCTACACGCAGGCACAACGACGGGAATCGGCAAATAGCACACACGAAAACCGAGAACGCACAAATTATGATCCCTGTAAAATGTCGCAAGCCCTTTGAAGAAAACACAGTGGCACTCATGCACTGCATTCCAAATGATAGATATGATCCTTTTTTCAGGGCAGGACATTATCATTGTTGCTGCTGCCGAAATCTGATGCGCGATGGCGCCAGCAGCGAGAGAGAGAGAGAGAGATCATTAGGCCAGACTGTCCAACTTGCCCAAACTCGCGTATGGACCAACTGCTTGCGAAATGCCCCGAAGCAAAAGATAAGAAGGTCGCGCAGTGGAATGGTTGAGCTCGAAAAACTGTTTGAGCCCGAGCGGTTGCGGCCAGCGAGAAAGCATTCAGCATTGCACGCTGTTTCGTGACTGCGCCCTACTGCATTTTTTCTGAGGCCAGGCTATCATCACCGCGGCTGCTGCCGAGCTCCGATGAGTGATGGCGCCAGCAGGGAGAGAGATCACTAGGCCAGACCGGCCAACTTGCCAAACAACACCACCACCACCATCTAGCGACCCAGCGGTGAAGGCGGACCTTTTTCGAACTGCTCTTGGAAACTGCACGCTGAGACGAAATCATTGATGCATGCTGCCCAAAGGGCGACGAGAGGACGAAGGTAAGCCTCTGCAGCGAGGGCACACAGCTTGCCTCTAGGAGTTTTGCCCTCCAAGACCTGATGTTTCTGATTCATATATCTACATATGGGGCATGACTTTCCGCGTGCAGGGGTTCGAGGGCACAGATCGCATCAGGCTGCCAACATACGATTGTCATGGCGTTCCGCCACGGTGTGCCCAACGCGCAGCACACTGCGTTGATCCGCCGATCCATCTTCGAGAGCGCGCCGGGGACGGTTGCCCCCACACCCACAACAACCGAGGATTCTCTAAGGATGCTGGAACTGTGCGCACGACGCATAGCCGTGGGACTCTGACTGGCACGCGCAAGAGACGAGTACCATCTGCTACCTTAGCCACATCTCCTGCCAACAGGCTCTGTAGGCCCGCAGGGTGCAGTTTGGACCTGAGGGGACCTTCAGGACTGCCGAGTTTGACCCGTTGGGCGGTGGAGCAACTACTGCACGGCGCGGCGACAAGGTGAACCCAACGAGCGTTGGGGATGAAATATAAGACATGCCAAATTATTAACTGCTTCCTCGGCCGATCCTGGCGATCCGAGCCCCGAATCTCCCCAGCACGAATTATCTAACCTTTTCGCAATCATCTCCCTAAGAGACCCTGCCCGCCCGGAAAATCCCTTGAAAAAAAAGCCTCACGACAGCTCTGGGCCCTGGAATCGCTTCGCGTACTTGCCGACGCGTCCGAACTGCAGCCCGCCCTCGGGCTCGTCGGCCGACTCGGACACGAGAAGCTGCTGATCCAAGGGCAGCGTGGCAAGGCGCCTCACGACGCGTGAGCTCTTCTCGCACCTCCTGACGCCCATGCTGGAGATCCACCTGCCCCGTCTTTCGACACCGTTGAATGACCGGCCCTCTGTCAGCCAATCGCGGGACGGCCCAGTGCGCCGCACGGCGTGAGCCCCCAAGATTCCAAGCCGACGTCTGCCGCCGCACTGTCGAACGCGGCAGTGAAAACCGCGGCCGACCACGGGAAGAAGAGCGCCGCCGAGAAGCTCTCCTGGCGCGCGACCCGCTCTAGCATCTCGTCCAGGTACGCCCGATACGTGCTGTCTAGCAAGATCGAATCGTTGAAGCCCCGCGTCTTGGTGGACTGCAGCTACTTCTCCGGCCGCAGCAACAGCGATGTGAATCGGTAGTCGCCGCCGACCCCTGGCTGGACTGGCACCGCGAGGCTGGCCCGCAATGAGAGCAGCTCGCCGGGCCTAAAATAGACGTCCGCCGCCAGCACCACCGCTGGGGCCGCCCGCGGCTGCCCGCGCCGCGCCAGCGCCACCGCGAGCGCCGCGATGGCCGCCCACGGCGCCATCGCCCGCGTGACAGGCGGCACCTGCCGCCCCCAGCCCTGCAGCGCCTTCGCAACCCAGGGCAGCTTCAGCAGCTGCACAACGCGGCGGGGCCGCGACCACCGATGCCCCACCGCGGCCAGCAGCATAGCCCCACTGCTGCAGGGCCCCCCCCGCGAGAACAAAAGGCCCATGTACTCCGCCAGGGCCTCCTCCAGCAGCGCGTCGGAGTCGAAGGCCAAGCCGTCGGTCCTGCAAAAACAGACGAACAGCGCCAGCACCCTCTCGCAGTCCTCCTCCGTCTTGGTCGATGCACTCCTGCTCCCGAGATGGTCGGCCCACCGGCGCCGGCCGCCCCAGCGCGGGCCCGATCCCTCGCGCCCGCCAGCGGGGGCGCCGGCAGGCCCCTCGGCCTCGCACGGGCTCGGCGAGACATCGCTGGCGAGCGGCGCGGCAGCCCTGCCGAGACGCCTCGGCGCGGCGCCGCCCTGCTCGCACGCGGCGCCCGCGCCGCGCCCCCCCCCCCCTTGGGTGCCCCCCGGCGCCTGGCCGGCCGCCTCTCGACAGCTGCCTCGCTGCCGAGCTCGCTGCCGCCCGGCGCGCCTGCACCCCCCGGGCGCGGTTTTTTGTTTGAATTGTTTTGCACAAGTTTTTTTGTTTGGGGGGGGTTGTTTGTTTTTGTGTTTGCAATCGGTTGTTTTTTTCTTGTTTTGTTTTTTTGTTTTTGTTTTGCAATCCGCGCGGCTCGGGCACCTCTCCGGCGGCCGGCCGCCTGTGGGCTCCCAGCGCAGCTGCAGCCGCCCTCGCAGCAGGCGCGTCGAACCACCCGCTCGGCCCATCGCTGGGGTTCGGCTCGCTGGCGACCCATCGCACGCTGGTTGCGCGAGAGGGTGGCCAGGGACAGAGCGGCCCACTTCCTGAGAGTTAAAAAAGCACGGGCACCGAGACCGCTCGCCCCTTCCCCAGACTCGGGGCCATGCCCATGCCGTCGCATGCAGAGTAGGCGATGCTGGCGATGTTGGCTTCAGCTGTCCGCCTGCACGTTTCCACCATCAGTGCCCCCCATCAACTCCTTGGTGTAGATGGCCTCCTTCCTCTGACCTCTCCTCGCCTGGATCGTCCTCCAGTTGCCCTCCTTCGAGAATGACGTTGAAGCTTCGGCCAGTCTGTCGCGCTGCGCGAACGCATCTGGGCACTCGTGCAGCAACGACCCGCTGGGCGCCCGCTCCCGAGGTCGGCCTCCCCCCTCGACCTCGGAAGCGACAGCGTTCACTCCAGCGCCGCACTTGCCGGGCCTCGGGTGCCGCGAAGAAGGCCTCCTGCAACGCGTAGCCTCAGGAGAAATAAAAAAGGATTCAGACCAAACTCAAACAAAGAATCAAATATTGTCAAAAAATCGCCCCCTTGACCATTTCTGACTATTGCTGAATATTCCTCATGTAGAGGGACACGCCCGACGTAAGGCCAGCAAAGGCATGGTATGCATGGTATTCTGTAGCTCCTGCCGCACCGCGGGCCAGCGCACGCGGGGCGCCCTGGACTGACGCCGCGAGAATAGGCGCAGGCGGCCCGAAAGATGCACGGGGCCGGGCGGTTCAGGAGCACTGCGTGCGTGAAGTGGCCAAGCAGCTTCTCCACTTCTCGGCCAGACGCCAGACGGCGCCTCAACAGGGCACGCGTGCCCTGCACCAGGCGCCGCCGCTTGGAGGAGGACAGGCGGGCCCGAAGCTGGACGCCATCCAGCTCCGGGCCCCGTGCCTCTGCGACGCGACTGCCCTCCTCCACCTCGTGCAACGGCAGCCCGATGCTGGACATCTCCTTGGCCCCCTGGACCCTGGCCGAGGCTGAGGCCCCCAGCCAGGACGAAACGAACACCTCATTGTCCACGTACAGGATACGCGGTCCTGCAGTGATCATATCGTTTCTGGCCACGCCTTCACCTGCCTCAACAGGACCTCCCGTCTTCGTCGACCCGGGACGCGCACCACGCCCCGACCCTCCCACTCGCCCCGTCCCCTGGGCGAAAACCGTCTTCAGGCCTCGCCCGTGAGGACCGCCAATAGGCCTCGCACCCCCTCCCATCACACGGGCTGCGTGGGCTCCCGCCCCCATCCATCACTCTGCTGTAAATCAGCACTTGAGGAGGCTGATTCCCAGGAAGACGGCCAAAAAGAGGGTTCGAGCACACCTTGCCAGACATCCGACGTCGCGCTTTTGTTCGCGCCGAGGCCCCCGGATGTCTGGACCCCTTCCCCTGGACCGGCTTTGCACCCTGAGCCGCTTTTTGACGGTCCCAAGGCCTTGCAAGGGCTCCAGGGGCCGAAAACGGCCGAAAGCATGCCGTCGTGATCTTTTTCGCAACGCGAGAATATCAAAGTCTACAAACTCCCACACCTACCACAACGGCGTCAATTCAGCGACGATCAAAAACAGGTCTTGTTCGAGATGGCAGGGCGGCCTTCCGCGGTGGCTCACGCGGGCCCCCAGCGCGGCACACTACGCTGGAAACGAGCGTGCCTTCGCGCGACCTTATGCGAGCAGCTTGCGCGCCAATGTCGGCGAAGACGACCACGTTTTTTCCGTCGCTCAACTGGCACCCGCGCAGTTTTCTTCCTCATCCCTAGCGGTGGGTCTCCTGGCCGCGCTAGCGGCCTCTACGCGGCCGCAGATCTCCGCGAGCAGCTTGAGCGCCTCCCCGCCGCCTGCGCCCGCCGCTGCCGGGGGCGTCGGCTCGGCGGCTGGGACGGCGCTCCCTGCAGCAAAGGGCGGGGGGGGCAGGGCGGACGCTCCTGCCCCTCCACCTCCTGTTCCCCCTCCTCCTCCTCCTCCTCCTCCTCCTCCTCCTCCTCCTCCTCCTCCTCCTCCTCCTCCTCCTCCTCCTCCTCCTCCTCCTCCTCCTCCACGGCCTCCACCTCCTCATCATCCTCGTTTTTCACATTCTTCTTATTATCATCAGTCTTAGCATTGTTGATAATATTATTCTTACGACTCTTAATATTGTAAGACTTCTTAGTATTACTAGTACTACGACTGTGATTGTATGATTCGCATTATTAATCGCAGTAATAGTTTTCTCAAAACCAATTATATTACTGGTAGTCGTAGTAAGGTGTGCTGATTCTGATAATTGAATCGTACTCGTCCTAGGAGTCCCATCAGCCCTCTGGGCGCAGGTGGTCTACCGAGATTCCTCTTCCTCTTTCAAAACAAATTAAAAACAACACAAAAAACATCTTCCCCTACGGGGAGGGGTTTACCCCTCCCCTTACCCCTCCCCTGGACTTTTGTGGGCGGGTCCGCGAGGTGTCAGGGCGTCCAAAACGGACTCAGCGAGGAAGCCAAAATCATTGGTTTTACTAAGGTGTTGGCCCCAGTTTAGCCTCTTTGGAGGGGGAGCCGAACTTTATCCCACCAGCCCTCTGGGCGCCAAAATCACAGGTGTACTAAGGTTCTGGCTCCATGTAGGCCTCTCTGGGAGTGGGGCAGAACGTTATCCCACCAGCCCTCTGGGTGCAAAAATCATTGGTTTAACTACGGTGTTGGCCCCATGTTGGCCTCTTTTTTTGGGGGGGGGCTGAACGTTATACCATCTCCTCCATTGATCGATGGCCTTCAAGATGGCCCCGAGAGGCCTTCCAGGGCTCCCAAGAGGGCCCCAAGAGAGCCCCAAGAGGGCCCCAAGAGGACCCCAAGAGTACTAAAAGAGCCACAAGAGACCTCAAATACCCTCCCAAAGAGCCCAGGAGAGCTCCAAGAGGCGATGTTGAGGGCTCCTGGGAGGGGGCCGAAATCGAGGACCCCCCATCTTTTGATCGATGCTCTCCTAGATGGCCCCAACAGGCCATCCAGGGCAGCAGCCGCAGCACAAGCTGCGGCAGCAACAACATCAGCAGCACCACCAGCAGCAGCAGCACCAGGGATCACACTCTTTGGATCCCTCCACCTCCTCCTGCTCTCCCTCCTCCTCTTCCCCTCGCCCCCACGCGGCCACCAGGGATGGCCCGAAGAGGCCTTCCAAGGCCACCCCCTTGCTCCCAGAGGTCTATCGGTTCATTCTGGTTGCTCGCTTTGTTTCCCTAGATGTGACCTTTCGTTCCTTTTCCCGGCAGCTCTCGTGGGCAGGGCTGCTGAATGGGCTGGCGGGGCTATGTTTGTTTTGGTCGCGGCCGCAGGCGAGCGCACCAGCAGCGTCAGAGGTCGGGCGGGCTACGCGCGAGCCTACCTCGTAGGGGTATTTCCGGGGCATCGGCACAGTGCGAATTGGCGAACGCAGCAGCCAGGATGACAAGCTGAGACGCGCCTGCAAGCAGGTAGCATATGCACATGCACAATACCAAATGAACAAAATCAGCGCTACGGAGCGAGTCGCCGGATCGGCGCCAGCCTGGTGGGGATACGCGAAGCGTGGAGAATATTCGTCTTATCAGTCTTATGCTTAGTAAATAATTATTATTAGTATATGGAGTGTTCGACTTGTGTACTCTTAGTCATAGTAATATTGCGTTCGTCGAAAAATGTACATTGTAGCTACGAATTATATTGTTATTAACAGGATTAGTCTTATATGTACTATTGTTTGCACACGTTTTCTTATGACTATTGCTCGTATGAGTCTTCCTATCCTGAGTAATAGCTTCACTATTATATGTTAGTGTTCGTAGGATGAGTCTTAGGCTTATAACTAGTAGTAATAGGAATAGCAGTCGAATGGTTAGTCGCATGATTCTTCTTAAGCTTA